TGGCGACAGCAAGGCAGTCTGTGATACATGTAAGCTTAAGTCTGCAGCAGTTAATGAGACAGAGTACTATTAAATGCCTGCCAAGACTTAGGATGGACCAGAGCCAGGCATTCTCTGCCAAACAGCAACACATTGCGGAGAAGATGTGTGTTATCTCCAAATCCAAGGTGACAGATGTTGCTGTGACTTTACTTATCTGGACATTCTGTGGTGACTGCACAGGAAAGTGCTGCATAAGGAAATCATCTTGGGAAAAAACTGCAGCCAACCTGGCTGAGCAAGGTGCGTCTCAAGCCAGGCACTCAAGCAAAGTGAGTACTGGGTGCCTGCGTGCAAGGAACTTGCTGGCATTGGTGTGCAGCAGGACAACTGCTCAAGGAAAGCTCAGGAGACAGCACCTGTGGGAAAGGATGGCAAATCTACCTTCCTGGTGAAGAGATCTCCTAAAGGCTGGGAAGATCCCACCTTCTCAGAGAACCTGTTGATGGCTTTGGAGTCAGGATGCTGTTAGCCAGACCATGGGAGGTGATAGGGCAGGAAGGCCAGTATGACAGTCCTGTGTGTTGCCACTGGCCTTCTGTGTCCCAGTGTTTGTGGAAGTAGTGTGCAGAGGCTGAGTGGCCCCTCGGGACATGCCTGGATGCAAACTTCCAGAGCTGCATATGAAGGCCAAGCAGAACCCTTCGCCTGCTTCTCCACTGTCTGCAACCCATTCCCCACTAGCTCCTTCTCTACCTACAGAAAAGCTTCTTAACATACCAGAGATGGGTGGGATAAGGGGCAGGATACTAAAGTTGTTACGAACTTATGCACTGGCCATGACGTGGAGCAGGCCCATGTCTTGCACACACAGGTCAGGGAAGGTGGCAGAGTTCAGGTGCCAGAAGTGATGAGAACCATTGATGGCACAACTGTGGTCTGTGCTTTAGACATCCCTGTGGGAAGCCCTGAGTGTCTCAGGCTCGGGGAACAGTGTCCTCCATGCCCCCAAGACCTTCACTGCTCAGCAAACTGGAACACTTCCAGTTTGTCTTGAATCCATAATTCCACAAACTGTAGATGATGTTGACGCACAGAACTGAATACTTGCCTTTCCTGAGCAGCAGGTGCCCACACCTCACTGCAGCTCTCAGACTTCCTCAGGAGCTGCTCCCCATCCCATCATGTTCTTCTGCACCCCTACTGGTGGGCTTATGATCTTCCTCACACATTTGGCCTTTACCGGATTGACAAGGTTTGGCGTCTCTTTGGACAGAAGCCAGTTGGGGAGTTTAAGATGCTTCTTGCTGCTCTCAGTAGAAATGAGTGCGTTAGCGTAAGACTTGCAGCCACCATACTTGCACAAGGCCATCTCTCGCCATGTTATCCCTTTGATTTGCACAATTTTTGATCCTTATCCATCTTTTAACCAATTTGTTGATCTATAATAAGTTTTTGTTTGTTCATTTGTTTTTAGTTCAGAAAACTAAATAACCTGAAAAAAAGTTTTTTTCGAGATATTTGATTCCACCCTTCTGCTAATTTACTTTAAGTGGGGCAGAGTGAGCATTTGGTGGGCTTTACAGCAGGTAAATTTCCACCTGAACAGTAAACATATCCAAGCACCCAACTCTCCAGCTGATTATGGTTGGTGCCATCTGTAACTTTTATTAAGTTGCATCTCTCTTTTTTTTTTTTTTTTTGTTTCATCTCATCATTCCCATGAGTCTCCCTGACATACATTTCTGGAATATTGTTGATACACAGGTTGAAAAAGTCCCCAGAGAAGGCTTATGTAAATGGCATGCATAATCTTGCAGTGTTTCTTATAGAGAGACCTCAAAGAGGGGTCACTATCATTATCTTAATTTTACATGGCATAAAGCTCAGCATTTCTGGCTGTTTTGCCTTCAGTAACTTGGCGTTATTATCTCCCCATGCTCTGCATGGGAATGTCTCTCCCTCAGGCCTGTTCTGCACAACTGTGATGTCCCTGTAGAGCTCTTGCTCCCATCCTCAGTAAATAAGAAAACTCACTTTGCATGCCTAAGAAATTTTCACTAAAATATTTTGTTCTGACTGCCCTGTTCTTCCCTCCCCTCTCCCTGAATGTAGCAGAGCTCTGGTGAGCTGACCTAAAAAAAAAAAAATCCAATGGGGGCAATTACCATCTGCCAGCCCATGATTTTGACTCAATAATGGACCTTTTATTTCCCTCTTTTTGTCAGAACCTATTAAGCTAGTCTGCCTATTTTCCACACTGAGAGTGACTTTGGTCCCATTGGGTTCAAAGGGTCTTGCTTTTAGGTAGGAGTTAAGGTTCCTTAATGATATACTCTAAAATTACATGAAGAAAAATCTCTGCATGCCTTATTTCTCCTCCCCATTTAGCATGCTGAAACCCTGCTGTCAATTTAATCATTTCAGTAAGAAAGACTTTTGGTCTGTACCCTACCTCTGCAAACAAGAGTAGACATACACGAATATTTCAAACACTGCTTAGGAAAAAAAAAAAGTGGTAATTTTAAGCCCCAAGTCCCCTGTATGTGCCCTAGCTATAAGGTTTATTTATTTATTGCAGAGACTATTCATTTATTTATTAGTAAGCTCCTGCACCCAAAGGCCTGTGATTTGCCACGCTGGTTCTTCAATAAATAAAATAAAATAGAAAATAATAATAAAAAGAGAGGTGTTTTTTGTGGCTAAGAAAGGGATATCTGACAACCATCTATTCAGCTGTTGATGAGTTATGGAAAACTGGAAAAGCCTCTCCATTTCCCACAGTTTAAAAGCCAGCAAGGAGATATTTGGTCCCTGCATGCAGAAAATACCCAGATTCACTCAGGCAGTGAAAGTGGATTAGGTCAGGTCTGAACCTGATGGCTTAGATAATAAAGTCTGAAGTGATCACACACGTACTCAGGCCATTTTCAGCAGTTCAGCTCAGTGAGAGCTGAAGCAGAATATAGTGAAGGCTTCTTTCTTTTAGTCTCGGTCAGTACATGTTCACCTTTCCAAGCAGCCTGGCTTGGACTTTGCTTCTTTTTAGACCGATAGTTGACAAATGGGAAACAAGATGTTCAGTTTCATGTAAAATGTAAAATAGTTTTGATTCCAAATTGCATAGAACCAAAGCACATACTGAGTCAGGCAGCCGGTGCCTGCTGTAATCTAAACCTCTTGCAGCCTAGCCAAAACATTTCAACATGTAAGTTTTACAGCAGCCCTTTTCCAACTCAGAGAACCTCAGCTGCTGCAGGTATTGACTTGAGCTTGCCAAATGCACTGCTAGACATGACCCTGAAATGGAAAAACAGAGTCTCAGAGGAAAGGAAATTGCAGATCAAAGTGATGTTGCTACCCCCGCTCTCGCAGAAATCTGCAGAGAGCTTCCTTCTGAACACAGGGCTCAAGAAAACAGAGCTGTTGGAGATCACATGCTCCAGCCATTTGTCTTTTTTAAGTTGTACTTTCAGCACTTATCTCAAACCATCTGTAAAATCGCTATGGGCAGGTTGTAGCAGAATTGCCTTTAAGAGGGAATATCACAAAGCAGGTGTAACCTTGTCTTTCTTTGTGAAGAGAGAAGGGAGCGGACAGCTGGAGAAGGAGAATCAAAAAAACTGGCTAAGATTTTTGCAATTCCAGCTACTGAGACTTGCTGTACACCTCCTGAGATGCCAGTACGTGGAATAGCACTGTGCCAGCTTGGTACTGTAGCCCTCATGCAAGTCCAATATTCGAGGAGAACTTTATGAGGCTCAGGTCCTTCCTGGTCCTTTAGGAGAGATATTCAGATGGAATTGCTCAGGACCCCCAGGCAGTGATGGGTGTCACTGCACCCAGTTCTCTCCAAATACAAGATGGACATCTGGACCAAGCATATTCTTTGGAGCTTGCACAAAGGCTGGTTGTTGATTGCATCCTAGGACCAATGTCTGAGAGAAGTGTATCACTAAGGGAATCTTCATAAATGAAGCAATTTTTGGCAGGGTGAGGAGCAGGGTGAGACAGAATTGCTCAAAACATATGTGCTGAGTTCGCTTTGTATTGCTGCTCTCTCGAGAATATTTTACCAGACAACGTGTATTTTTAAAGAGGGAAATAAAGGTGAGGCAAAAGTAGCCCTACTCTGTGCAATTGGCTGATGCTCTGCCATGAGTTTTGCATATATCACAACACCTGAATACACAAATATATTTGACAGTACTGAAAATAAACTTTTTCACGTTTTTCTCATTCACAATTCAAAAGCGTTGTCACTAAATGAAGTACAAATCATGTATGCCACTGTATCATTTAAAGGGAAGCTCTTATCCGTAAGGAAAACTAAGTAATAATAAGAAAGTCGTACTTAAAATTTATGGTAATCACCTGTAGATGTGACATTTACATCAGTGTTTCTGGCCATTGGAAAAATAAATGAACGTAGCTATCCAAATAAAGTCTGTGTTCCTCCTCAATCCTGTCACCATCCTATCTGTATGCCAACAGCATTACTTTCATTTCCCAGTGTAGCTTGATAGGGATTTCACAGGAAAGCATTGCAAAAAAATGTATGAAATCACTTTATTTTGGCTGTGATTCCATTTTTAAAAGAGCAGCATATCATTTACCTACATCATGCAGGAAAAAGCAGCAGGCAAATTACAAATAAAATTTACATTCACAAAGTCTCTAAATCACCTGGCTGGTTGGGGAGCATTGCATGCATCTTAAAGAAAGCCAAGGAGCATTTCTATTAGAAAATGCATTGCTAGGTTGAATTTTGTTCTGTGTGTGTGAGAGAGAGAAAACAAGCTTTTTTTTTTTTTTTTTTTTTTTTTAAAGACAGTTCCCGAAACATTTTACTAACTCAGCTCACGAAGAAATGGTATCTTGATAACATATATCCAACAGATACAGACAAATTTCAGATACAGAGGACATTACGTTGAGGTCACAACAGCTGATTTCTAACAACGCCTTTGCTATCACAGTAAGCTTGTCCAAAAGATTTATTCAGCAGCATTGGTATGGTCTTGACAAAGGAGAGGGACTGGGAAGGATCTAAGCCAACACATGGTGGTAGAAACATAGACAGAGGAATTCCAAAGTGGTTCAGCACATGGTCTAGTCACTTGTTTTATTTATTTTTAACACAGAGTAGCATAATTAATATTGCAGTCTGATTTCATATGGCTTTCTCTAAAGATAGATGTAAGTTCACAAAGGTCAATGTCAAACTAAATTATCTGCGTTCCAAAAGGTGGAGGCTTTAATTTGTTTTTATTTTTATTTTTTGTAACTGGAGAGGTCCTGGATCTCTGAAGGAAAATGGCTGCAGTGCCTAGCCACCCACCTTGCTGTGTAAAATAATAATAATAATAATAAAAGGAAATAACAACAACAACAACAACAACAACAAAAAAAAAAAACAGAAGACCTCATTACCTGAGACTGAGCAGGCTGGAGATGTAAATAAAACAATAGCATGGAAAGACCAAGGCATGATCAGAATCCAAACAATGAACCAATGTCCTCTTTGGTCTTGTGCATGTGCTGTTGGGTGCTGGTGGGAGGACGAAGGTGCCGGACACCCCATGCCAGAGCAGAGCAGGGAGGGCAGTGCTTCTTCCTTGACCCCCTGCAAAGTGGCCGAGGCACTTGGAGCACAAGGAAGGACCTGGAGACAGGTCCAGAACCAAGAGATGTGCCAAAAGCCTGGGGAGGAAAAACGGGCTGCACCTGCTCTAGGCATGCAGTGCATCTTCTGCCATGTTTCTTTGTTAAAGGAAAAATTAAAAAGGAAGCTACTGGTTCCCATCTGTCCGTCCTCCCTTCCCCACTCCCAAGCTCTGGAATGGTGTTCGGCTGGATGAAGAAAGGAGTCCATGGTCATGGCAAGGGAAAGGGAGAAGAGTGAGAGATGGAGGAAAGCCAAGGCCAAGCAGCATGACCTCGTCCTCTGCAGGAACCTCTGCCGATTTGCTAGGAGGGTCCTCGGAGGCACAGCCAGAGGGGAAGGTGCATGGGCAGATGCACACATTTCTGCTAACTCTGCCTGCTCATAGGAGGATGCAGGAGATTGGAGCATTTCAGAAGGCACCAGTCCTTTTGTTCCACTGAGACCTGGGCTAGGAGACCAGCACCAGTGAAGGGCTGGAGGAAAAGGCCAGGACACCTGCCTTTTAGTTTGCAAGGGTGTTGGATTAGCTCTCTCCCTCGCAGAGAGAGCTGCAGGAAGAGATTCTTTTTTTTTTTTTTTCAGTTCTTTGAGGTCTACTTTAAATGGGCTCAAATTGGTGGCTGCTGAATTTGCATGGGGTGAACAGGACACTCTCCCTAGAAAACAGTAAATTGCTTAACACTGCTGTGATATCCCCAAATATTGATATAGAGGTAAAAAGTTCTGTGGGTCATAAGGAGGGAACATAAGGGGAGATACTCACCTTGATTTAAATGAAAGTTTAGAAAACAGAAACAAAAACAAAATCAACAACAAAAACAAGCAAACAAAAAAATTGACATGATTTGTCAAACGAAAAAGTGAAACACACTTTCTCTTTCCCCTGGGAAGCCCTTTGCAGCTCGCAGATGAATTGGACATATCTTGTTTGTGGTCCCAACTGAGATAAGTTGAATGTCCATGAGCGGGCTCTGAACTGAAGGAGGTCATTCAGCTCCTTCAGCCTCTGCCTTGGGTTCTTGGAAACTGATGGTTAAAGCCAGCTGGGAGCCAGCAAGGACTGTTGTACCTGCATAAATGTCAGGTGGAGGGATAAAATATAGGAGATAATATAGAGGAAGGGAGGAGGATAAAATATATTTCTTCTGTTTTATCAATTTTTTCCCTGATGCAGGAGATGCTGATAAGAGGTGCAAAGGTCATAAGCTCACTGCTTAAATATGGTGTGGATTGCTGCTTTTTACCTGAAGAAAAATGGTAGGTGTCTTTTTAAAATCCATATTTGAGAAAGTGCTTATATATTTGTCTAACTTCAGCTTTGTGGAGTAAGTACATCAAAAAAGTTCCACTCACGTAAAATTCTTAATTTTAGATGCATAATTTAGCATCTATGATTGCTTTCCTTTCTGTTGGAAGGGAAAATTGTGCATGTGCTCCCAGATCAGTCTTAGCTGCTTGGGAAGTTGATTGCTCCTGTGGGAGGGACACACAGAGCAAACTGGCTCTCCTACTGGATGGTGAGACCAAGGTGATATGAAGCTCCCACACCATTGTAGAGACCACACAGAGCACAAGGGCACCAAGATCAGCTCTTCAGATAGCAGGTCTTATGCCTGATGATGAGGGACTATGTCCAGAATAAGTCTGCCTACACGTAAGAGCGAGTGTGTCCGTGTTTGTGTGTGTGCACTTGCTAGTCATCATCTCCAGGGGATTTTGTCTTTTCTTGAACAGTTCCTCAGCACTGGTAAGCTCTGTATTGGGAAGCCCTCTGAACTGGCGTCTGGGAAAAGCTTCAAAGACACTGGCCAGAGAGAGATTTCTTCCCAGCTTATTAGCATCGAGGGATGCTACGCACGCTACTAATGCCGCTTAGTTCCTGCACGACACAGCAGCAGTGGTTTGCAATCCACCCTTACGTGATCCTTTTATAGCAGATATGGATTAACACCTATATTTTACATCTGGAGAAACTGAGACAGAAAAAATAACAAAACATCCCCAAGGCACTGGAGAAATTTAGAATGAAAAGGAGGAGGTGGAGCTCTGGAGTCCTCCACCTCCAGGGCCACATGCAGCACTTGAGCACACCGGTCTTGGCCACATGCGGTGGGGCATAGAAGAGCAGGACACAGCAGCAATAGGATGCAGGAGCCCCACATCCCTCCTGCAAGCACCGCTGGGAATGGCATGGCTGAGTATGGCCTTGGGCAGAAGGAGAAGGTTGGCCACCGAGAGGAACCAGCTGCATCAAAGGGCAGTTGGAATGGAGGGATGGGTAGGTGCTCCAGGAGAGCACCGCACGTCCACCACGGCTCCCGCTCTCAGCATGGCACCCGTCAAGACCCAAATCTGCACTTCCAAGTTAAGAGTATGGCTAATTCCCAAAGCAACGTGAACTCTTGCTTAGATTTGAGACATTTAGCTCCTACCAGCAACTGAGGGTGGGTTGCTCAGCTCTTTCACATTGTCTCAGCAATGCTGGAGACACAAGTCATGCATGGTTTGTCTCCCAAACGGTCTCTTGACTATGCCAGTGATGGCATTAAGATGGAAAAAGCTCTGTTTCTGTAGGAGAACTGAGACACCTCTTGCAAGGGAAGATGTTCTCAGCAGCAAATGACTAGGGTGACCCAACCAACAAGAACATTAATAATGATAACTTGATAAACTCTCAATATTAATAATAAAAAATAAGATAATTAAATAAAATCAAATAGGCTGTTGTTCACAGTCAGTGAACACTCCTTCCTGCTTTGTATGGAAACATGTGTGAGGCTATTCCTTTTTTTTTCTTGCTAAATGTACAGTTGCTTATTTAACATACATATTACTATGGCTTATAATAAAAGTTGTGTAGATTGCAGCTTAATAATCCTTACATCCATTCAGAGGCGCCTACTGGATGTGGCTATTTACAAAAAAGAACAAAATAAGGAGGGTACCGGGTGAGTCCAGGGTGGAGGGTGGTTGGGGGCGGCCAGAGGGGATTGGGCAGGTCCTAGTGAGCAGCGGAGGTGGGTGGGCAGCATGACGGATGGCAAGGTTTGATATCCCCATTGGGCAAACGAGAAGTTTCGTTGCGGTACTGTTTGTGCCAGTCTGACAATCTGCGGCAACTACTTCTTGAACATGTCTTGCAGGGGCCCCGGGAGGTATTTGATGACCGTGTCCAGAATGCTCTCCTCCTCCTCCTCCTCCTCCTCGCCACAGCCAGGTGGGATGGCCTTCTTGGGGCGAGTCAGGCTGCCTTCAGCATTTGCTTCCAGCGCAGCCTGGGCCTCAGCTTCTCTCTCTTCCTTCTTCTTTCTCCCACACTGCAGGGAAAAAAAGTGGCCATCAGTAAGGCTGGCGGCTGATGCGAATGGGAATTTGCTGCAAAGCCATCCCAAACCCTCCCACAAGAGTGAGAGCAGACTCCAGGCCCCTCACCTTCTGCAATAAGTGCATTGTTATAAAAGAAACATGCTTTTGCTCTTATTCACAGGGGCCAAAATGAACATTCCCCTAAATCACTGTGGGCAGGCAGCACTCATGAGACAAGACGGTCTGGTGATCATGGTGATCACATCCCTAAGGAGCAAACAAAGGAGAGAATCTCTGGCAATTCAGCCATATGTCCAGCACAGGCAGCACATGCTCTTCTCTAACAAATTTAGGGGGTTGTGTTCTACTAGTTTGGTCTTCCTCTCTTCTGCTAAGAAATTTGACCACTCAAGTCCATCATGAGCAATGATCTTGGAGTAACATCTAAAAGATTTTATAGTGAAGGGTTACAGATGTGGCAAAAAAAAATAAGCAGTAAACAAAAGTAAGAAAGCAGGACAGGACAGACGGACTGAGAGACTGCAGTGAAAATGGGACAGCTTTCATCTTTCACATACAGGAGATGTTTTATACATCCTCTTCCCTGCTCCTTTGGTATAAATGGGATGGAAAGACCTCTAGGTAAAAACTAAAGCTTCAGGAGAAACCCTGTTCACACATCAAATTCTTCACTTCTCGGGGTACAGCTTACTCACACTTCCTGGAGAGAAACATTCTTAAGCTAGCAAGTAGGGTGGATAACTGAGATTTGCTACTCTTGCTGAGAAATAAAGTAATGCATCGACGAGTTCACATGATTAGCCAAAGTCTTGTTTCATGGTTTGATATTAAGGACCTTAAATTTAATAGAGAATTGGAGATTGCCTGAGTGAATCTGACCCAGCTGAGAAATGCTGCAGTGACCGGGACTTACTTTCTAACTTGCAGTCTCAAGGCATCATCAAACAAAATTTCTGCACTACTAATCTACTCAGTCCTCAGCCTGCATACACCTCAGTAATTCTCCACTGTTGCTGCTATTTCCAGAAATTCCAGAGATTTTGTAGGTTATCATTTCACGTGTTTAAAAAAAAAAAAAAAAGTGATCTGTCACATACAAAACTACAGCAGCAAATATACCTGTAGGTTGCTCTCTTTATTACTTATAATCACTTCCGCTACATTAAGAAGGCAGTGGGCAGAGAAAAGACCTTTGAGATGAAGATGAAAGACATTCACATTACAGTTGCTGTAGCAGGAACATGCCTCTATCAAGTTTGAAATCCTTGCTGTGTAAGAGCCGTACCTCTATTTGTGCCTTCATTTTAATCAAAACACAAAATGGAATTCAGATTTCTCCCCCCAGTATGTAGGAACTGTCAAGCAACTAACCTAAAAGCCTGTAAAGGCCAGCAAAATTCTTTGCAGGAATAAGTATTTTTGAAATGAAAACTACATATCATTTTGGAAAAGACCCAAGAATCATGCTAGTGCAAAGTACTAAGTATTTTCTCAGTATCGTTAGTACAGTACCGTTGAATAGACATGAACTAGATGTTCTTCTCATGTTTTTTTTTTGTTGTTTTTTCCATTATGAAATTATTTACCAGCAAAAAAAAAAAAAGACACCACGCTTTCTGCACGCC